TTTTAAAATCAAAGATAAGTTTAACTTTGGTTAGCTTTTAAATTAAACATAAATGTAGATGATTTATTAAGAGAATGCAAAAATGCACTTTTTTCATTGAAAAAATATTGTTATCATTCAACTATTTTTGATATCAAAAAACTTATAATCAAATAATCAATATTTTATATAAAGGGAATTTATAGCATTGATATAATATTAAATACTAAAATCATAACATTTGTTTCTCTTAATTTTACTGACTTTATAATTTATAGACTACGAAATAATTTAGGAAGAAATAAAGATTAAAAATTAATGAAATTTCATAGCATTGTTTTTCTTTAAAATTCTACTTATTTAATTTTTTATGATTTTTGTCAAAATTTGACATTTTTAATGAAAATATATACACTTATTGATAATTATCATTTTGAATAAATAATTGTTCTTTATATAAATATTTTCTGATTTCTTATTATTTTTCAGCATTCTACATATTTTTTAAAACAAATATATGAATTTTCTTATCACAAATAACGATAAAATCTATTCTTTTATGATGCAATAATAATGAAATAAGATGACTATAAATGATTTGATTTTTGTTTCTTCCAAATTCATGACAATTTTTAATTTCTTAAAATTATATATATAATTATGCAAAAAACTATTTCTACAAGTGATTAAGATTATAACATTGTAAAAGCTGAAAATCATTAAGATTCTGATGAAGAATTATAAGAAAAATAGGAGAAAAGCTCAAAATTAGTGATAGATGACGAAGAAGAATTGAAAGAAGTTCCCTTAGAATAAAATGAATAAAACAATACTAATATCAAACAAGAAGTTTAATAACATTAATAAGTGCAAAAATAATAAGCAATCTAACAGCAACCTAATGATTAACCAAAAAAGGTTGTTGCTTAAGTTTATCCTAAATTCATAGACTTTGATTATTAAGACATTAATATTAAATTCAAGCCTGAATGGAAAGATAAAAGAAAAAATCCTGAACCAAACAAATTTGAAAAGAAAACTGTAATAGAAATTAATGAGCCTGTGCTATACACTATGAATAAACAAAAACCAAAACATGGAAGATCCTTTTTTACTTCCTTATTTTCTGTAGATTATAGATATATCTTTATCTATGGTGGATATATGTATATTTTACAATTAAAGAATGATAAAATGTTTGTAAAGAGTGTGAATTCTTTGTAGAGATTATTTAAAATAATACTTAAGGGAGATTAAATTTAGTTATGTTTTATCAATGCCAATCTAGATAAATCTAAACCCCCTAATGTATGATTGCAATATTATAAAATTAGATAAAATCATATCATTTCTTAAAAGGAAAAGAATAGAAAGAGAAATTATTAATGAGAATAAGAGGAGAGATTAATAAATTAGGTTATGATTTTGATTTAATGAAATGAATTTTATCGATAAATTTATTTAATTAATTATAATCGTTATTTTTTTAAACATTCCCTTGTTTTATGAAAAAAAGAGATAGTATTTCTGAACCTCCTCTAGATAAATTAGATCAAATAAGATAAAAGTTTTCAAAATAATTAATAAAAGTAAATGCTAAAGGTTTTGTGACTTGTAGCATTGGAAAATCACCTTAAAATGATGGTGGATCAAGAATTTCATTTGGTAAAAGCTCATTTTTAGAAAAACTCTAATCAATCAATTCATTTGAAGATGATGAGAGAACTCTACTAAAATCTATTTAATTTGATGTTTAATTAGCAATAAAAAGATATTAATAAAGAATTGAATAAATTGCATAATAGTAAGTAGAACGAAGTTCATTAAAATCTTGTTAATAAGATATTGTCCAATATCTAACAGCTCCCTAATAAGAGAAAAATGACATTTAATTTGATTCTTAAATATTAACAAAGAGATCTACTAGTAAAAGTACAAAATAGAATACCTAAATTGAATCAAATACGAATAATAAATTAAAATAAAACAACAAAAATATTTTGGGGAATAAGAAATCTAATAAAACATTTAAAATAATAGCTGATAAATAAAATAAAGCTAAGCAGACAAAAAAATAAAGTAATTAATCTCTTACTGAAATAAGTCTGTTAAATAAAAAACAATCAATAAATAAAGATGGCACTCTTAGTTAAAAATCTGTTTCAACTCGTTAACCTAGTGTAAAGGAAATAGCAATAAATTTAGAATAAAGAAGATCTACAGGTATGACAATTAGAAACCAACCAAGATAATCAAGAAATTCAATCAATTCCTTTGATAATAAGTAACCAAATAAATCTAAAAAACAATTAGTTTTCTGACTTAAAGATTAAAATATATGGTTTGAATTCAAATATAAATATTAATTAATTATTTTAAATATTATTTATATTATATTTATATATAATTTGATACTAATAAAAGTAAATCAATATTTTTATATTAATAATCAATCTTGAACTAAGAGTTTAAGATATTAAATGTTATATTCAATATTTCTTGGGTAGTATTATTAAACTTCAAATTTAATAGCTTTAAAGTGCTAAAGTATCTTAGAAATTACGACTACACAAATAATAAATCCGAGAGTACATAGTAATATAATTTTTGTATAGATGCTAATTTAGTTAGTATTTTAATTAAACTATTCTCCAATTTTTATAGCCGAATAGGTCACAAGTATTACAACGAGTGACATTAATAGAAATTCAAAAAATAAAGAAAATTTGAATTCTTTCCATTTTTTGAAATCAAAGTAAATGCAACCTTTAAGATGGTATTTTTATTTACATAATTAGCAAGAGATTCTTTTCATTATACTGCCAGTTTAAATGTAATTTGTTGCACAACTTTGATGAGCATATGAACAAGGGCATATCTAAATTAAGTTTTTATCTTAAGAACAAAAGTAACAATTTTTGTTTGAAAGTGACTACATAGATTGTTCATCATTATTTCTTAAAGTATTCAAACTTATTTAAAGATTATTTTGCTCATTTTCAGGACTATTTTATTAGTAATTTGCATTGATTAATTCATCGTTGAAAATACTAAGTTATTAATTTAATATCTTTTTTTTAATCATAGTAATTTATTCATCATGCTATTCTGAGAAAAGATTAAGTGATTTTTAAACTTAAAGGGATCTGTAGTTAGTCTCTTTTTTATGATCTTCTATTTCTATAGTTTTGGTAAGTTATGGGGAATGGAGTCTGAGTTCTATAGTCATCAAAATAAATAATGAATTGTTTAAATGATGATTTTTTTGGATATAAAATAAGTCAGAGTGAAATTTGAACAAAAAAATTAGTTATAATTATATAAATAAATTATTATATTAAAGTTTTGGATTATGAAATAAAAAAATAATTCAATAATTTTGTATAAATTATTATATTTGAATTGATGTCATTAAAAAAATTTTAAATAAAAAGATTTCCATATTTATGAAATCATTGTTATTCATTAGCTTGTTATTGGCTACATCTTTGTGTGCATTTTAAGAAGAAGATAATGTAATGGTGTTAACTACAGATACATTTTAAGATGCTATTGACACATTCAAATTCATTATGGTTGAATTTTATGCACCTTGGTGTGGACATTGGTATATATAAATAATTTATTATTAAGCAAGAAATTGGCTCCTGAGTATTCTGCTGCAGCAGCTGAATTGAAAAGAATTGGAGGAGATGATTACGTGCCTTTAGCAAAAGTTGATGCTACAGTTGAATCATCAGTAGCTGAAAAATTCTCTATCTAAGGATATCCAACAATAAAATTCTTCATAAATGGTCAAGCAATTGATTTTGAAGGAGGAAGAACATCAAGTGAAATAGTAGCTTGGATTAATAAAAAATCAGGACCTCCCTCTACAGAATTAAATTCAGTCTAAGATTTGGAAAGATTCTTAGAGAGAGTATCAAGTACTCCAATTATTGTCTTCTTTGGAACATCATCAGATGACAATGATTTTGAAACATTCAAATAAGTTGCATAATCAAATGATAAAATTACATTTGCACACACATTTAATCCAGAATCAGCTGAGAAATATAGTGTGAGTGGTAAGATTGTGCTTTTCAAATCTTTTGATGAAAAGAGAAACAACTTTGATTAATCAGTGACTAAAGATAACTTAGAAAATTTCATAAATGTTTATGGAAATCCAATTATATTACCATTTAATGATAAGGCAATCAATATCATTTTCTAATAAAGAAATAATGCAGTCATTTTATTCACAGATGATTCAGATACAGGTGTAGCTGCTTTTAATGCATTTGCTGCTGTTGCTGGTTCATTTAAAGATAGGTATTCATATCTTATAATTTTAGAATCAAATTTTCATTCTCCAAACCTAATGATGGATCTGGTTTATTCCATAGATTAGCTGAATATATTGGTGCTAGTACTACTAATATCCCTAATGTTATGTTGTATGACTAATTGGGAGGAAATGGTAAATACAGATTTGAAGGTGATATTACAACTGAATCATTAAGAACATTCTTAACAAACTTTTTTGATGGAACATTAACAAGATATATGAAATCTGAAGAAATACCAGCTACCAATGATGAACCTGTAAAAATTATTGTTGGCAAAAATTTCAGAGATTTGGTTATTAATAGTGATAAAGATGTTTTAATTGAATTCTATGCACCTTGGTGTGGTCATTGCAAATAATTGGCTCCAATTTATGATGGTTTAGCTAAGAAATTATTAGTTAATCCTAATATCATAATTGCAAAATGTGATGCTACTGCTAATGAAGTATTTTATATTATTATTTTTAGATTGAAGGAGTTAATATTGAATCATTCCCAACAATTAAATTCTGGAAGAATGGATAAAAGGATTAAATCATCGATTATAACAGTGGAAGAGATGAAGCCAACTTCATTTCTTTCTTAAAAGAAAACACTTCACATTAATGGGTTGATCTTGATAGAGTTGAAGAATTATGAGTGTATGTATTTTCATTTCATAAGTACAATTCCTATTTTTTATTATAATTTATGAATACAATTAATGAATATTAATTATAAATACCTGTTACGAAACAACTTGAATAAATTAATGAACAATCAAATATGGAAGGCAGTATTATATTAAGTAATGAGAGACTGAGTTAAAAATAAAAAAAATTAGAAATTAGAGTATTTGATATAATTTCTTTTAGTAAATAACTTCAAGTAGATTGATACCTATTAATAATGAAAAGTTACCAAGATTATCTCTAAGTAAATCTCCACCCTAATAACTTAAAACAATTAGAGCTATAACTGATTATCAAGCACCTTCTAAATTATAAACAATTAAATCTTTTAGGACAAATACAGAAAATGATGCAAATTTTTATACTGATGATGAAAAAGGTAAACCTAAATTCAGAAGGGATGATAAAAAATCAAAAACTAGCAATTAGAAAACTGGAATTTATGAGAATCCTTAAAATAAAAAGTTTATTGAGTTTGCCGATTAAATTAGAAGACTCAAAGATTAATTAGATTCGTTATAAGTATATTTAATTTTATTAACTAAGAAATATTTGAATAATTCAAGAAAGTTATTCCTAGTTGTGAGGAATATTGTTGAAAAAAGAAAGAATCTAAGAAAAATTTTACTCAAGAATGGTAAAGATGAACTTATAGAATTTTCTGATATCGAAAAATATTGTAGTGTTAAAGAATTCATTAATATCAATGGAGAATAAAAACTAGTTGATAAATTAAATATCTCATTATTAGATGATATTATCTATGCCAACGAAGTATTAGAGAATTTGAAAATATAAAATGAAATTCTAGATATTAAAGAAATGGCTGACTAAGTACTTTTTAATACAAATTATGATTATAATAGAAAAAAATTAAATAAGCAGGTTGAACAAAATATTAAAAATCAATTAAGAAGAAGACTTAAAATTATCTTTTGAATCTATGGCTATGTCAAGATATAATTTGCATGAATAAATAGACATTTTCGAATAGAGATTAGGTCCCCTCTAGTCTATTAAAAAAAATTTAAAATAAACTTCTTAAGCGATAACAACTTTTGTAAAAATATTATGTGATAAATGATATCTATTTTTTAATTTCTATTTAATTTTATTAAGAGAATTAATATCAAATTATATTCATAGTTGAATTATTGAAAAAAATTAAAATACTTTTATATTCCTCTAGCTTGGATTAAAGATGATGATGTTAAAGTGCAAAAATTTTAATGGAATTAAGCAAATTACATATTCTTGAAAACCTTAACTTCATTTTTACAATTCTTCTCTATTTAAATCATATTATTGAATATTAGTTATATATGTAATTCATTCCTATCTATTTTCAGAATAAGACACTAATTTACTAAAAATTTTGAGCAACATGAGAGTGAACTAACTACATTTATGACTTTCTATTCAGCTTAATAAGAAACTATATCAGATTATATTTGAGATCTAAATATTTATTCATTAAGCTGTCATAAATCAAAAAATACTATAAATTTAACAATAATCTTATTAACCTAAAGACTGAAAGAAAATTTAAATAACGGCTTTTCAAAAAGAAAAGTTCTAACTTAAATATTTGACATCCATTTATATTAAATCAAGAATCAGAAAATTGTAATGGTATCCCATATTTCAATTATATAAAATCAAAGTAAGAAAAGTATATGTTTACAATAAATCGATCCATAAAAAAAATAAAATTACCTTACATTTCATCATCAACACATCATAAATTATTAACAATTAAACGCTTATTTTCTATTATGTTTAATGCTTGCAAAGTTGACTAAATCGAAGAATGAGTCAAATAAGAATTAATCATCTTAGAAATTGGTATTTAAAGCTCTCGACATGAAATAAAGAACAAATTTTAGTTTATCTTTAAGAGAGTGAATATAAAATTTTAGATTATTGAAATTCTTGAAATATATTCATAACAATTAAATGATTACTTTCATTTATGCTCAGTTTCTGGATTGAAAAATTTGAATTTATTGTCATTTATAAGAATATATTTGGAAATAATTTGATAATATCGATTTGTATACTTTTTTCTATTAATGGATTTTAGTTAAAATTTAATGACTCAACAGTTAATTAGATTAAATAAGGATTTAAATTAAAAACAAATTAGAAGTTTAAAATTTTTGAGTATAAATAAAAACAATGCTCAAAATATTGATTTTTTTAATCAATTTTGAAACTGCTAAATTATTTTTACATAAAATAAATATTTTAAAGGTTTTACCAGACATACTAAATTAATCAAAATGTAATTTTGTTTATGATTATGAAAAACTTGTCTCAGGATGCTAATTAAAGAGAACAGTTTTTGAATTAGAGATTTCGAATCTTAATGAGGATAAGCTAATTATAACTATCTTATTTGAAATTTATCATTAGAAAGTAAAATATTTAGAGATAAATTTATAAAAATTACTTCTTATCATTGCATTTCTTTTGATAGTAACAAATCTCAAAATATACTAAATTACAAAATTCTATACATTATTCTTTTTCAATACATTCTACTTTCTTGAAGCTACCTTTATTTAAGAGAAAGATCAATTTATTTTAAACAATCCTAATAAATTATGTCTGACCTTTAGCCCTATAATCTTTATGTGAAACTTTCTGGATTTTTCCAAATTGTTCGGATTTATCTTGAAAATTTAGTAGATCTCAAGAAAATTCAAATCATCTTAATTATAAAAAAGCTCCATCTAGAATAATTCTGAAATTTCATGTATTGGACTTCATTGTTAAGCAATTTTAGAAGATTATTATTTGACTTCAAATTCACTTTTTGTTTGAGAATTGATTAAATTAAATTATTTTTTTTAACATAAAACTGATATATGTTTGTCATTTGTTATTAGAAGGATTGTTGACTGATTTGATTTTGTTTTATTTTTTCAGAAACTCTTTGATGTCGGCTTTTAATTAATTATATTCTTCTTTCATACTCATTATCATCCCAGTGGTCTCTTCTCTTTTATTATGAGAAATTGTTATTTTTTTTTTTAATTGGAGAAATTGCTAGTATTAGATTATAACAATTACTGGCTTCAATTCTGGATTGTTATTTATTTCATTCCAAAGTTTTTCAATTTTTTATTGTTTTCTCTGCTGTGCTTATTCTTTGTATGCTTTTGCATCACTACCAAATTATTGATTTTACATTATTAATATTAATTATAATTTTGTTATGATTAATATATTTTATTAAAAGCAACATGAGAAAAGAATATAATATAAAATGTATACTCGATTATTATTATTTGAAAAAATACTTTTCGACATGCAATCAACACATCATTTAATTAAAAAAATCATTAAATTATGGATAAAAAATATTAATCTCTTAGTTAATATATCATTTTATTATATAATTTAAGGTGATTTGGCTAATAAAATTGAGGAAGATAGATTTTTTATCTATTATATATTGATGGAAAAATAAATCATAAGGTATTACATATTTAAGTTAAGCTAAATCTATTTAGAAAAAATAGAAAATTTTTGAAGCTGAATAAATATTAGCAATAATTGACATACAAATTTTGGTATAACTAATAACTTCTTATTAAGTTTGAATATATATATTCTTAATTCAATAAAAATCTTATTAATATATTTTAATGCTTCATAATATTTATGAAAGAATATTATTTGCATATACTTCGATTGATTAGAATTTAAGGCAGATGGCAGAAAAAGATCTGAATTAGCTTGAAGAATAGGATTCGAATTTTTGTTGTTATTTATTAGAATTGATATAGACCCACAAATAAAACAATTAGGTTAAATTTTTTACAATTATCCATTTAAAAAATGTAATTAAGCGTAAATGGAAGGCTTACAAATAGATGCTTGGTTGTGAAAAAAGATAAGGTATTTTCATATATTTATTCAAGGCTATTTTGAAGAAAATCAGAGAAATCAAATCAAATAATAAGTATTATAAATTTATTGTTAAGAAGATGTTGGGTAGCTCAAATAAGAAGTTCTACAAATTTTATTTGTAATAATATAGAATTAATTATATAGGAATTATGCTCAAGTGATTACCCTTTTAAATATCCATTATTAATAAATTTCATAAACTAATAATTGGAATCAAATATTTTAGAAGAATAACAATTATCATTCTTAAAACAAATATTCAAAATTATGCCTAAAAATTAAATGAAAAATGACTAATATGATAGATTATGGTAAAAAATTGCCTAATTATGGGTACAAGCTGATAATTTGAATACTTATTCATAACAATCTTTAGTTTTACTAGATAAAATGTTTACTAATTTTATATTGTCCTATAATTAAATTGTTTTCAAAGATGAAATTTCATAAATTTTTACTACAATACTATAAAAAATAGCTAGATTATTACAAAGCCCATAATAATAATAATATTAAAAGAATATCAATCATTTAATTTCCAAATGCTCTAAGTTTGTTGATATTTATTCTTTTTATCTAACTTAAACATTTCCTGATTTCTTGTAATTGTTAAGTGTAACAATAAGTTCAGATAAAAAATTTATAATTAAAGGTGGTTTAGTAGCGTTTATTAGGTTTTTAAAACTATCATATTTATTTTAAACTGATGAATAATTTTAGTTTTATTTGAAAAAAAAATCTGATTCAGAAAAATAACAATTTATGAAAGAGAAATAAATTATTGATTAAATTTTAAAATAATTTTTTGAGAAAGAGAGTTAAAATTTTATACAAAAGTTTTTAACCTTTATAACATCATCAAATGATATCAGTATTGAAGAAATGATTGAATAAGAGGAAGAAAATGAATTCGAAAAGATTTTACATCCAAAAGATGCCGAAATTTTTAGTTTAGGATTAATTGCTGCAGAGTTGCTCATAATCAGAGCTCCAAATATTTGTATAAATTTACTTTAGGGATATATTGATTAGACAATATAGGCTTAATTTTAAATAAATGCAAACATTCTAGAAAGCTTATTGATCATTATTGGTTTAATTCCAAAAATATAATCAAAGCTAAAAATGTAATTTCAAATCTAATATCCTCCAATTATATAATATTTATAATCATCAAATCAAATTCATCATTAACGAAGACTTTCTATTTTATTAAATAGGCTAATTTTAATATTAGATTAAAATTAAATATTATCTACTCTTACATTAGCGGGAAATCTGCTATCTACTTCTCAAGATAGTATAATCTAATATCAATCATTATTGTGTATAAAATAAGTGGCAATCAAATATGATGGAAATTTATAATGGAGTTAAATTTTGGTTACTGTCTGCCCATATATAGTAAAGCTTCTTAAATGTTTACAAAGAACAAGCATTATTACTCCGTTGTTAGATTTACTTTCGAAACTAATTGAAAAATGTCAAAATGAATAATAAGAAGTTGTAATAAACGCGATAGAAAATAGCGGCCTTTTATAATTAATGTAATCTAAATTTTAGGAAGCTGAAGAAAACCTATTGATAATTGATTAGGTTTGTTAGATGTTAAAAACTTTAATAGTTGCATATCCACTTGGAACTAAAATCTCACATATAGTTTAAATGGCTAGTGTACTTATTATAAACAATATAAATTCAAAATAAGCCTGCATTTTAGAGTTAATATTATTGTTATTAAGAGAATATGAAGAATAATCATAAAATTTTCCTATTTCTTAATTAATAAATATCCTTTAGTAAAACTTAGATAATTTATTATCTGATACCTCACCAATAAATTCTTGCATAATTTTATAAATTATTGAAGAATTATATTTATTGGGCATTTTTTCTATAAATGATTTTTCAAAACACATCCCTTACATGGAATCTAAATATACATTAAGAGACAAAAATGTCAAAAATTCTGTATTAGGTCTGACAACAACAATGATTTTGATGATGTTGAATAATAATAGATAAGATATAGCAATATTTTCAGGTTTAATTTAATAGATACTTAATGATTTAATAGAGCCAGAAATGAATGATAGGCTTGACAATAAATTTAGAATTGAAGTTTAAATTGTCAGCATACTTAACAGATTTATCATTTTGGCAAGAGATGATTACTTCTCTTTTGTTTAGTAAAATAACATCTCTTTTGAAAAATATTTTTAAAGTTGGATGAAAAAATCAGAAATATTAGAGTCTGAAAAATCTATGTAATTAAATATTATTATATCATAGAAAATTAAATATAATAGCATTTCTACTTATCATAGACTATGTATAACCAAATATATTTACTGCTTACATTACTTAAATTGCAACACAATATGGCAGATTTTCAAAAAAGCAATTAATATAAAAAGCAATTACAATTCTCTCACCCTGTTAAAGGCTTTCATAATATAGAGCAAGTAGCCGAAAAGAAAAGATAAGAAATACTCAAATGCATAATGAACACAATCTTCAACAATATTTTTAAAAAATAATTCAGGATTATATTCTTAAACATAATTTACAGTAAGACTTGACGATTATTTAAGCTTTATAAATTATTTCATGAAAGATTAATAACATCCATAAAAAAAAGTTATATAAATTTTTAAACATTTTCATTTATTCTTTATAAAGGATAGTTAAAATAAAAATTCTTTTTTATTATTAATATAAATCTGTTATATTTTTTTATTATAATTCTTTTAATATTAGAAGAAAGTGGCAAAATAATTTAAATTATTGAATATTTTCATCTGATTTTCATTCTTCATTTTCTCTTTTATGTAATTTGATAATTTAATTTTGAGATTTTAGATATTAGTATTTTTTTTAATTATTTGTAAAATTTATCGATTAATATATTTTCCTCATTTATTCTTGGTTTACTTCCTTTAAGGAAAAAAAAAATTTTCACAAGAAATGTATCGACTAAGTTTCAAGGATAAAAAATTTAGACCTGGATTTTTTGGCAAGAGATATCACACGTAGATAGGAATAACCTTAAAAATTAGATTATTTATGAGTTAATCACTAAGGTCGAGGAAATATTTCTACTTCTGCCAATAACTTTGCTTTTTAACAGTGCCTCTGAATTATTATTCTTATTCAATTTAGATTTTCTTTAAATGTGATTATATTGTGATAAATCAGTCTTTTACTTTAATTAATGTTATCAAAATTAATAAATAATTATAGTGATTATTGATAGAGATAGATTAAGGGAAACTCAGTTATTGAGATAATCAGAATTTCACAAAAACAAATAATGCAAAAGTATTTTTTATTAATATTTCAGATTGGATTAGTTATAATATGAAAAATTTTGTTAAGTTCAAAATACTCCAAGAAGAGAAAAAATAAATTACCATATTTCAAATTACATAAGAATCTCTTCTTAATTATATTAAATAAATCAAATATCAAATCTGATTCCGTCTTCTCTATCTATATAGTCCCAGATAACATTCTATATTTCCTTTTTATTTATTTATGAAGTTTTTTTATTTCTATAAATAAATTTAATCTCTACTTAGTTTCATGAAAATAAATAAAATTAGTATCGATTTGCAATTTCAAGAGCTAAGAAAATATCTGAATTGCTTCAGTGTCTTTGCGGTCAAAAATAAATAATTTAACAAAATATTGATTTCTTTCTGCTATTTCAAAATACTCTTGATTTCTTTCGTCGAAAATTAAAAGAAATGGCAATTAATTTTTCAAAATATGCTGAATTTCTAAATTAGTTCCTGTGTAAATTAATGGTAATGCTTCTTGAATTAAATAATTCTCCATGCTTAAAAATTACATTTAAATCATACTCTTAAATATATCCTTTATATTTTTTAGGTTCTCCATTTTATGGATATATAACTAATTTTGTTCCATCATCAATTTCAAATTAATCTCTTAATGTTGGAGACTTAGCCAGTACCATATAAAACAATGAGTATTTCATATTTACTTCTTTCATTTTCATTAAAATAAATGGATCGATAAACTCATTCTCTTAAGCAAAATAGACTAAGGCAACTTTATCTGCCAGAAATTCTGATAAAGAGTGAGCATCTTCTATGATGTGGACTAAGGGTCTTAAATTTTCTTTTAGCCATTAAGAAAGTTCTGCATATGATTTTTAACCTTCATAAACTTCTATATCTCCTTATCTGAAAAAAATGAGAGCAGGGAATTTATTTATTCCAAATCTTTTAGTAAATGAAGGCTGTTGAGTGCAATTTATTTTTCCAAATCCAAGCACCTTGTCTTTAAAATTGAAAGAAATTTGTTCGATCATTTTATCGACTTCATCACATTTCTGGCAATCGTACCCTTTAAAAAAATTTATCAATGAGTAAGGGTATTAATCTATAAATAATTCAAAGTTTTTCTAATTCAGTTCCTAAACAGATCCATAAGTCAGGAAAAATAAAAGTAAAAGATAGAATAACATAATTATTTTATATTAATTTCAAGCAATCCAAATGAATTTTCAAAAATACATTATTATTAGATTCTCTTTTATAATCACATATCATTTCTAAACAAGTAAAATTTCAAATGAACCATAAAATAATCTAGAGAGTCATATGCGATTATAAATTTGACCCTTAAACTAAATATCGAAATTTATTAATATATATGGGGCATCTAATTTCATTTTTCAAAATTTTATTTCTCAGGTCTATTGTGTACCAAACTTGTGTAACAGACAATTAAGGGGATTGCAGATATTAAGATTTTTCTAATTTTGGATCTAGTTCAACATTAGCTAGGTGTGGTTTGAATCCTAAAAATTTATTTATGGGACCGTATGGTTAAAAAACTAAAGTTATAAAGACAATGAATATTCATCCAAATAAATAATTGGAATTTTCTATTGGTATATGGATTTTTGATTCTTGGGATGTTGGAGAAGGTCTTTATATTTATGCAAATGATATCTAATTAGATAAAATATCATTTTCATCATGTGCAGAAATAACTAGTGGAACGATCTATTTAACCTTGTTTAGTATAAAATATCAATAATCGAAAGTGAGTTAACATAACAATACGATTGCAAGACAATCTAGACTCTGATCTTTAAGATGGTATAAATTGAATATTTTTTAGAATCATGGGGATTCAGAGACTTTATTATAAGACTTTCTATCCCTTGTGTTAACTTTTATAGTGAATGCAATTATACTGGAATTTTATGTTAAGGTGAATAATCAAAGAAGACAAACCGTATCCCATTTGAAATAAAATCGATTCTATTCGGTCCTAGCATTATCGTTAAAATAAAAGATCCTAACTACTTTGAAGGAGTATTATAAGAATTTAACTCTATATAACCTTGCTTGAATGGCTATAAAGTATTATAAAAATGATGAATCATTAGTTTCCAAAATACATCCTACCATCATGAAGAAAAATATGTGAAAATAAACTCAAAAAATCAAATAATTTATATCATTGAATATTTTTTAACATTTAAAAACTTTATGTGGTTTTTACGTGTGTATGATTTTTTGGTCAGATATAAGGTTAAATTATTATTTTTCTAAAATTATAATGCAGTTGATTAAAGCTAAAAGTTCTTTTTTGAAGTATTGGAAAAAAACCTCAAAATTAATTTATTTTATAAAATTAAAAAGAGTTTGGAAATATATATTTATATCTCTATATTAATTTTTCGTTAAAATCATCTTCAATGTAAAGTGTTAGATAATGTGACTCTTAAGTAAGCAAAATTATTACTCTAAATTTTTAATCCCTTCAATAACATTCTACTTCTTAATGATTAATATATCTATCAGTTGCTTATAATGCTGAGTACCTTTTCTAAAACAATAAATAATAATCATTAACCAGAATAGAGTATTTTAGAAAAAATTATTCAAATAAATGTTTTAACAATTTATACGTTATTTTAATTATTTTTAAAAATTAGTTTGTTAAAATACTTGACTTATATTTTATTTTTGTGAACTGCAAACTAAAAAACTAAATATTATAACTAATATTAAATTAAACTTTTCATACGATCCTTTTAATACAAAATAAATTAATCTATCATAATATTCTAATTATTTAAAAAGAATGGTAATATGTTAATTTAATTTTCTTTAAATAATTATTTCACAATCTTCTATCTATTCAATGCATTAACATTAAAAATATTAAAATCTATTTGGTTAAATAAATTGTATAGCTATATAATTAAATCATCATTTAAAATAAATAATAAAGTATTGAGAGGAGGAGGAATAGATTTGAATTAAGACTTAAACTTGAAAAGAGATACTTTTGTTGAGTATATGTTAATTTCAAATTGAGCAAGAAATTTGGAAGTAATCTTTTATAAAGTTCAACAAATTTAGCTTTAAATAAAGTTACAATAACAGATATTAAATAATTTATTATAATCTTTTTTCTAAAAATAACCTTTAGCTGTATCAACTTTGTAGAAATGAAGTCTACCAAATATTTTGAATGTAACAGAAACTAAAGTTCTAAAATTAAAGCCTTCCATAACAACATCTTTGTACATCTATTCTATAAGATCCAAATTAATCTCATCATGAAAAATTATTTTAACCATGATTCTAATCTTTCATCTTAATTAAATTATCCGAATAATTTCTAGCTCATTTTTCCACTAGGTTAGTCGAACATTTGTAAATCACCTTGTAAATGATCAAAATTAATAGATTTTCTTAATTTTTTCAACTTTTCTATTTATTTCAAATGATGTTTATTTATTAATTCATCTTAAAAGTCATAACTTCTCAAATTAAATTTTTTTAATGCATCAATAACTATTTCAATAACAGCTTCAAATATTTATACTTTTTTAATTGAAAATTTAGATGATAATTATTCGAATAGTAAATGTGTTTGGTTATATATCTTAAAAAGTTAGAACATAGATGAAATGATATATTTCTACCAAATCATTTATCATATATCTTCAAAATAAGAATAAAAAGTGCAGTTAAATTAGAGATTAAATATTCTATATACTTTTTTTTCTTTAAATTTACCTAAACCTTTGTTTAAGTCTAAACATGTTTTTTTAACCTTTCATCATTAAACTTATTGTATATTAAATATTAGTAATTTTTCTTCATTACAAGCATAAGCATAAAGTGTTTGAAAATATGTTTTTCGAACCTTCAAAATACTTTGCTTTAGTTCGATTATAGAATTACTACCCCATTAAATAAATGCATTTCAAAATCAAGATTAGTTTCTCATTCATATTTGATAAGTATGTGGAGCTTATTAATATCTAAAATAGGCTTGGTAGATATTATTTTCTGTAAATTGACCATAAATAAAAAATATAAAGATTATCTTGTTTTTTCTAAATATAGATTGGATAAATTCGTTTATTATTGTTTAGAAGATTCTGGAGACAATAAATTTAAGATAATATGATTGTTTTGTTGTATAATTATTAAACTTTTCAATGAAGGGAAACAATTTCTGGCGCCATGCAAATGCCACAAGTATCACCTTATGCAAGTCTAATGTGGCCAGCTTCACCCCAAGCAGCTCCCCATGAATTTCTGACCTTCCAAACTCCATCAGATGAAATACCAACAACAATAACTGCGTGATTCAAATTTTTATCACATGTCGTTAGGATTCCATTTTCTATTCATTAAATGTAAAAATTACTATAAAATTACCAAAGAGTGGCATCAACATAGACAGGGATTATATCGTAGGAGAGGCTAAAAGCTAATCTTTCACAACCATCTATTCTAATTGTGGTAACAAAATGGATGAATGATCTTCTATTCCACTTGCAGACTCCGTCCACACCTGTGTATGGATAGTCTTTAATGTCAGACAAACCTCTTATTGCAACATATTCAACTGCATTACTAATCCAACCACCATCGCATCCTAAATTTCCATATTGTCCTGAACAATCAATTAGTTCTTATTCAGATAAAGTATATAATGTTTTGTAAACTAATTGAGATTTCATTTCAATTGCTCCTATTGTGGCGAACGCCCAGCATGAACCACATTTTCCTTAGTGTTTAACATCAGGGTATATAATTTTCGACCCATCAGTCCAATCGATTGCTCCTTCTGTGTATTTGAAATTTTTGTCTTTAGGATTTATATTGTCTGAATTTGGAACTCTGAGTTTCAAATAAATCTCTTCAAATTCTTCTTTACTCAAATCAGCAAATTGATTCAATCCCAAAGTATATGTTTTTTTCTCTGGACTTTGATTGAAAGCATTGATGTAGTTAAGGTTTTCAATGAAAACCTATAATCTATATCTCTCATCAATTTTGTTTGGATATTAAATATTATACATTGTTTTCCAATTATCAAAAAGAGTTGCTTTATTGGTTTCATCAGATACTTCTAAGGTATTATCCAAGAAGAAGCTGGCTCCCAACAACATCATTAAACCCACTGCCAAAAAGGTTTTCTCCATTTAAAAAAAAAATTTTAATCTTTTTTTGAAAAATTTTTATGGCATAAATATACAACAATTATAACGTAGTCTCAATTTTTACAATTAAAAAACTAATATTTTTAATCTCTTAATCGTAAAATACTCAAATCAACAATCCTTGACATCAATAAAGAAGCTCTTAAGAAAATTAGTTTCCAACCCAATATTTTTGAAAATCAGGGACTTCAATTAAATTTCTAAATTTGGTTTCCTTCATGCCATTTACTTCTCCTCAAATCCATTAAAATCACTATCTATTTTTTGGAATCTAATTTAAAATTAATTAATTCATTTTTGCTTCTACATTTGTAATAATATTTTCTAACGTTAGATAATGCTAAAAATATATATATATCCAGAGTTTAAATCACGGTTTTTCCAAAATCTTTAGAAAGTTTATTTGTTTGATTGACATGAATAATTAAGCCTAAATCAATAGAACTTTCATAAATCTTCTTAAGAATGGGAAGATTTCTAATTCATATTTACCTTAAAAAAATTTCAATTTAATTTCCAAGATGAACATCAAGACTTTTTAGACTAGCATTTCATGTATTTATGGTTTTTTACGATTTTAGTAATAAATATTAAATATTTTTTTTCTATTTCTGATTATTTATAATTTATTTTATTGTTATATTATATAATTTAAATTTTGTATAATTAAAAGGTTATAATAAAAAGGACCATCAAAGTCAAATAAAACTTATTTTTGAGTCTTTTGATGATTCATAAGTCTATTTAATTTCAGTTGCTATCAAATTTTTGCAAATTAAACCTAAACACTGTATTTCCATTTAANCGAACGCCCAGCATGAACCACATTTTCCTTAGTGTTTAACATCAGGGTATATAATTTTCGACCCATCAGTCCAATCGATTGCTCCTTCTGTGTATTTGAAATTTTTGTCTTTAGGATTTATATTGTCTGAATTTGGAACTCTGAGTTTCAAATAAATCTCTTCAAATTCTTCTTTACTCAAATCAGCAAATTGATTCAATCCCAAAGTATATGTTTTTTTCTCTGGACTTTGATTGAAAGCATTGATGTAGTTAAGGTTTTCAATGAAAACCTATAATCTATATCTCTCATCAATTTTGTTTGGATATTAAATATTATACATTGTTTTCCAATTATCAAAAAGAGTTGCTTTATTGGTTTCATCAGATACTTCTAAGGTATTATCCAAGAAGAAGCTGGCTCCCAACAACATCATTAAACCCACTGCCAAAAAGGTTTTCTCCATTTAAAAAAAAAATTTTAATCTTTTTTTGAAAAATTTTTATGGCATAAATATACAACAATTATAACGTAGTCTCAATTTTTACAATTAAAAAACTAATATTTTTAATCTCTTAATCGTAAAATACTCAAATCAACAATCCTTGACATCAATAAAGAAGCTCTTAAGAAAATTAGTTTCCAACCCAATATTTTTGAAAATCAGGGACTTCAATTAAATTTCTAAATTTGGTTTCCTTCATGCCATTTACTTCTCCTCAAATCCATTAAAATCACTATCTATTTTTTGGAATCTAATTTAAAATTAATTAATTCATTTTTGCTTCTACATTTGTAATAATATTTTCTAACGTTAGATAATGCTAAAAATATATATATATCCAGAGTTTAAATCACGGTTTTTCCAAAATCTTTAGAAAGTTTATTTGTTTGATTGACATGAATAATTAAGCCTAAATCAATAGAACTTTCATAAATCTTCTTAAGAATGGGAAGATTTCTAATTCATATTTACCTTAAAAAAATTTCAATTTAATTTCCAAGATGAACATCAAGACTTTTTAGACTAGCATTTCATGTATTTATGGTTTTTTACGATTTTAGTAATAAATATTAAATATTTTTTTTCTATTTCTGATTATTTATAATTTATTTTATTGTTATATTATATAATTTAAATTTTGTATAATTAAAAGGTTATAATAAAAAGGACCATCAAAGTCAAATAAAACTTATTTTTGAGTCTTTTGATGATTCATAAGTCTATTTAATTTCAGTTGCTATCAAATTTTTGCAAATTAAACCTAAACACTGTATTTCCATTTAATCGCTTTATAATAGCAGATTATTGCTTTTTCATATTAACTAAAATCATTTTTGATAATTAAAATGCTTCATGTTAAGGTAAAATTTTACCTAAAATTTTCTTAGAAATTATTTACCTATATTAAAATAGGCCTTTGCATCATAAGGATTAAATTGAATTTTTTGATATAAGTCATTTAACGCTCTGTCTATTTCACTAATTTTATAACATAAAATGCCTTTATTTTAAGTTCAAAAGTATTCACCTCTAATTTTACTTGATAAGTAATTCCATTTTTAACGAAATATTAATAGCAATAAATACATTTTAAGATACTGCAAGGTTAGCAATTATAACCATCAAATGTTTAAAAGTACTTAGTAGGATCATCACAGCATTGACAAATACCATTTGAATCACAACTTGTACAATTCTATACACAAGGAATACTAGACCCATTTGATGATAGATATGTTCCAGTTGCAAATTTATTGCATAAAACTATTTCCAATAATATGGTGCAATCTGTACGTCCTAAGCATTTTGTACAAGAAAAATCTCCTATTGAAACATAATCAGAAGAATATATTTGACAAAGTGATTCATGTTGACAAGTTTGGCATTCTTGGTCACAGGAGAAACAATTATTATTTCTTAAAAAGTATCCTTTTTTACATGAATCAGATTTATCCATCTATACATTAGAATTAATTCATAATCTCCATTTCCATTTTAAATTATATTTAAAATTCTATATTTCTCTCCATTCTGTTGACAGTTTAATATGAAAAATTTTCATTATATTCATATATGATTGTGTCTTGTGTANTCTCTTAATCGTAAAATACTCAAATCAACAATCCTTGACATCAATAAAGAAGCTCTTAAGAAAATTAGTTTCCAACCCAATATTTTTGAAAATCAGGGACTTCAATTAAATTTCTAAATTTGGTTTCCTTCATGCCATTTACTTCTCCTCAAATCCATTAAAATCACTATCTATTTTTTGGAATCTAATTTAAAATTAATTAATTCATTTTTGCTTCTACATTTGTAATAATATTTTCTAACGTTAGATAATGCTAAAAATATATATATATCCAGAGTTTAAATCACGGTTTTTCCAAAATCTTTAGAAAGTTTATTTGTTTGATTGACATGAATAATTAAGCCTAAATCAATAGAACTTTCATAAATCTTCTTAAGAATGGGAAGATTTCTAATTCATATTTACCTTAAAAAAATTTCAATTTAATTTCCAAGATGAACATCAAGACTTTTTAGACTAGCATTTCATGTATTTATGGTTTTTTACGATTTTAGTAATAAATATTAAATATTTTTTTTCTATTTCTGATTATTTATAATTTATTTTATTGTTATATTATATAATTTAAATTTTGTATAATTAAAAGGTTATAATAAAAAGGACCATCAAAGTCAAATAAAACTTATTTTTGAGTCTTTTGATGATTCATAAGTCTATTTAATTTCAGTTGCTATCAAATTTTTGCAAATTAAACCTAAACACTGTATTTCCATTTAATCGCTTTATAATAGCAGATTATTGCTTTTTCATATTAACTAAAATCATTTTTGATAATTAAAATGCTTCATGTTAAGGTAAAATTTTACCTAAAATTTTCTTAGAAATTATTTACCTATATTAAAATAGGCCTTTGCATCATAAGGATTAAATTGAATTTTTTGATATAAGTCATTTAACGCTCTGTCTATTTCACTAATTTTATAACATAAAATGCCTTTATTTTAAGTTCAAAAGTATTCACCTCTAATTTTACTTGATAAGTAATTCCATTTTTAACGAAATATTAATAGCAATAAATACATTTTAAGATACTGCAAGGTTAGCAATTATAACCATCAAATGTTTAAAAGTACTTAGTAGGATCATCACAGCATTGACAAATACCATTTGAATCACAACTTGTACAATTCTATACACAAGGAATACTAGACCCATTTGATGATAGATATGTTCCAGTTGCAAATTTATTGCATAAAACTATTTCCAATAATATGGTGCAATCTGTACGTCCTAAGCATTTTGTACAAGAAAAATCTCCTATTGAAACATAATCAGAAGAATATATTTGACAAAGTGATTCATGTTGACAAGTTTGGCATTCTTGGTCACAGGAGAAACAATTATTATTTCTTAAAAAGTATCCTTTTTTACATGAATCAGATTTATCCATCTATACATTAGAATTAATTCATAATCTCCATTTCCATTTTAAATTATATTTAAAATTCTATATTTCTCTCCATTCTGTTGACAGTTTAATATGAAAAATTTTCATTATATTCATATATGATTGTGTCTTGTGTACACTTAAAATTTTTAAAAGTTATCTGGTTAAAACAAATTATTTGAAAATTAAATCCTACTTCTTTGTATTAAATGATGAATAACCAGGACTATATTTTATTTATAAGATACCATTATAAGCAATATTCTTCATATTAGAAATAACCAAATGAACATTAATTTTTTCTCTATAGTAAACACATCATTACCTAGAGTATCACAATTTAATTCCTATTCCACCTCTTTCATTTATGGAAAGATTTCTGATAGTGGTTTGCAAATTAATTCATTTTCAATATCTACATATTTTTTTTTGCAAGCACAAATCTTTTAAGTAATAGATTAAATTCTTTGACTATTTAATTGACAAGATAAACAGTTAATGCTATTAGGGCCATAGCAGGTCAGACTTGAATAATGACAATTAGGAGAGAGTGTATTAATTGGAGTTGTGCAATAAGAGCTTAATTACAAACCACTGATGTATCCTTTCAAATAGTTTTTACTTTATTTATCTCTTGCAACATGATAATACATTTTTGTTCCTGTCAAATTTTTGATTTAAATTGTTCCATTTATATATATCCTCTACTTAACCATTAGTGATGGAAAATACATCATAATAATTGGTTATCCTTAGTTATTATTTGTTCCAATTTCTTATTATATATAATGCCACTTAATAAAAAATTCCAAATATTATGCTCAAAAATTACTTATGATATCCAGTCCTAGTGTGTCTATTTCAAGTTGGAAAATTGTATGAATAATTAGATTCTTGAATGACATTCTGACGATATTGCAAATAGATGTCTTTATCTCCTATCTCCGTCTCATCTTAATAGTCTTGATTTATTGTAAACTCTAAAAGTCACAGTATCAAGAGGTGATTTCTCAAATAGTTATAATTTTAACCATCCTTTTATTACATATATTGGATATTCAAATATACTTGTAATACCAAATGAATAATTCAATCCCAAAAATACTTAATTACTACTTGATAATATATAAGTAATTCCTTAAACACTCAAATTCAATAGAACAATCCACTAAAACTGACTCAAATCTTAAAATATATTTCCTGACCCTTAACTGAATACTGTGGACAATCTTCCGATAAACTAAGTTAATCTTAACTCCTCTCCCAATTAATTTATTTTCTTATATTTCCCTCCTATTTAATGCATAATTTCTTTGACTAGAGCAGGTATGTCATTTACTATCTACATTTTTGTTGTTATTTTCTATTCCAGTTAATAAAATCCAATCATGGTTGATTCTGATGGTAGATTAAAATAGAAATAAAATAATATTTATTTACCTTTATATTTTTCATATTAAAAAATACTAAAGTAACTGTTGATTTTTTTAAATGAATAAAATACAAAATGAGTAATTGTTTATGTTTAATTAGAAATAGAAATAGAAAAAGTTAAGAAATTGATTTTTTTTTCTTTTTATTCTAGTAAATATATCAACTATCGTGATGATATTTAACCTTTTCCTGAATAACCTGATGACACCTATAAATAATTATACCAATACTTTTATCTGAAATTGGAATGAATGGCTAATATTTCACCCATGAACCCTACCCAATATTTTCTTTAGAGTTTAAAAACTTACTCTCCAATTTAACATCTATTTCCTGCTCTGGATTAGATAAGCTTAATATTATAGACCCTGCGCTTATGTAATTATAATTTGATTAAACTTATCTTTAATAACAAATTGCAATACTCAAATAACGTTAGAAAAATAGTAATAGCAAACTCAGAATATTTTTTACATTTTATTTAATGAAATTAAATCATAAATAAAGCAAAATTTATCATTATTTGATTAATTATTTTTTGAATATAAAAGAAATCAATGATAATTTCCTCTCTTTAATTTCTAATTTATGCTTCTAAACAAAATTGTAAGTAAAGAATTTTTTTCTTAATCTTTAAATTATATGTAATCCATTAAAAAATGACTCGACTTATTTTATCACCAAATCTAAAAGATAATGATTAGAATCAAAAAATTAAGAATTATGAGAGTTTTAGACTTTTTAAGGATGTCTGAAAAATATGGGCTGATTTTTTAGAGTATTTTTCATAGGTTTATTAGGAATTTTAATTATTCTAAAAAATGTAAATGTTAATTTTAATAGAAATAGGAAATGAAAATGAGATGCACTTAAACTGATCATCGAAATCAATAAATTATAGGGTTTTGCATTAATAATACATGTCAAAATTAAAGGCCTTATTGTAATTTTTGTTTGCCTTGTCATGGTGAACATCTTAATAGGTTAACATCTCAAGAACTATTATCTGAATGGATTAAAGAAAGAATCCTTATAATTCAAAGTATTTAAAAGGCTGTTGAAGAGTGTAAAGTGACCCTTGATAGCCTATTAAAATTCATTACTTTATTATGATAACTCTAAATTCTAATAAATCCCTAATTTAGGATTAACAGAAATTGACAAATTAATTAAAGATTTATGTTAGATAGAAAATTGTGAATAAATAGCATTTAAACAACTTAATATTCAATTCGAATAAATTAAATAGATTGTATAAGATATAATAAAAAATATGAACGAGAAAAACAATTTTTAAATTCCTCATTGTAATATAAACGATTTTATTTAACTAAAACCGAATCTAAACTCATTCACTTTTGAACTCATGAATTCAATAAAATAAAATACATCAATTTATGCGATAGCTTTTAGTAAAGATAACTCAATTGTCTTAACTGGAAGTGAAAAGGACATTAAAGTATTTAAACATAATTAGGGGATACTGAATTAAATTCAATTGTTAATTGAACATAAATAGTATGTTTATACTTTAATTTTCATGAATAATACAAATAATTTTGTATCTGGAAGTTATGATCATACAATTATCATATGGTAGTTAATTGAAAATAATTATTGGAAATGTTAATAAAAATTGAAAGATCATTCAAGTTAAATATTATGTTTAATTGTGAACAACACTGATGATTTAATTATCTCAGGTAGTGGAGATAAGAAAATTAAATTTTGGACGAACTAAAATTATTGGTTCTGTTTACAATCCATAACTGATCATACTGATTATGTTTATTCATTAAGCTTAAATGAAAAATAAAATAAATTGTTATCTTGTTCAGCTGATTCAAAAAAAATAGTAATAGAATTGTAAAAGTCAGATAGAAAATGGTATGTTATATAAAAGATAGAAGTAGAATAGTATGGGTATAGATTATGTTTTATTAATGATAATTAATTTATATTCTAACCTTATTGTAAAGAATACACTTATGTATATGAGATGGATAAAAATACTCGATAATTTATGAAAACTAAGGAAATTGCTGTTAAGTGTGGTTAAAGCAGTGATTATTATTTATTTCCCTAGCAATACTTAAAATCTAAATCCCTCCTGGTAAATAAGAATGCCAGAAATATAAATATAATATAAAAGAAAGATAATGGTGATTTTATCATTAACTAACCAATTGAATTTGATACTTATTATTTTTATGGATAATTAAGTAATGATGGAGAGTATTTGATTGTTTGGGACGATAAATTAAAGGAAATATAAATAAGAAAAAGGAAGGAATTATGAGAATTTTTTTCATATTATAAAAAATAATATATACGTTAAGATAATTTTTGAATATCATCATTATTCTACTGATACTAAATTTTAATAATTTTATTTTTCCTCTAGCTATTTCTAGTAAGAAAAATCAAAGTTAGAATTATTTTTTGTTTGTTTATCAATTTTAACTTTTTTTTTTAAATGCTTAAGATATAAAGTATCGATGCGATTAAAAAAACAAAGGGAATATTTTGCATGCTATAGCTTTTTCTAAATTTGAAATAATATGAATAGGTTTTTAAAGTAAGTAGTTATTATTTTTTTTATAAATGTAAAGTTGAAAAATTTTAAGTAATTTTTATTAGTTGTTCTAGATTAGATGTAAATTTTAAGTAATTTTTATTATTTTTTATGAGTTTTTATTATTTTTAAGAAAGCGTTATTAATTTTTTTTGATTTTTAGAAATTTTTATTGTTTTTTATTAATTTTAACGAATGTTTTTAATTATTAGAATTTTTTTAGATTTTTATAAATTTTTTAATAGAGATGTACTTTTTGATGGGTTATAGAATTTATTTTCAATTTATTCTAACAATGATGATCTATTGAAAACATCAAATATAGTAGATCAATTAGATCATGATCCTCATTATTTAATATAATTATTTTGCAAATGCATTAAATCATTATAGTATACTTTAATAAAAAGTTTTCTATATTGAGGTTTTTTTTGAGTATCNATTATGTTTATTCATTAAGCTTAAATGAAAAATAAAATAAATTGTTATCTTGTTCAGCTGATTCAAAAAAAATAGTAATAGAATTGTAAAAGTCAGATAGAAAATGGTATGTTATATAAAAGATAGAAGTAGAATAGTATGGGTATAGATTATGTTTTATTAATGATAATTAATTTATATTCTAACCTTATTGTAAAGAATACACTTATGTATATGAGATGGATAAAAATACTCGATAATTTATGAAAACTAAGGAAATTGCTGTTAAGTGTGGTTAAAGCAGTGATTATTATTTATTTCCCTAGCAATACTTAAAATCTAAATCCCTCCTGGTAAATAAGAATGCCAGAAATATAAATATAATATAAAAGAAAGATAATGGTGATTTTATCATTAACTAACCAATTGAATTTGATACTTATTATTTTTATGGATAATTAAGTAATGATGGAGAGTATTTGATTGTTTGGGACGATAAATTAAAGGAAATATAAATAAGAAAAAGGAAGGAATTATGAGAATTTTTTTCATATTATAAAAAATAATATATACGTTAAGATAATTTTTGAATATCATCATTATTCTACTGATACTAAATTTTAATAATTTTATTTTTCCTCTAGCTATTTCTAGTAAGAAAAATCAAAGTTAGAATTATTTTTTGTTTGTTTATCAATTTTAACTTTTTTTTTTAAATGCTTAAGATATAAAGTATCGATGCGATTAAAAAAACAAAGGGAATATTTTGCATGCTATAGCTTTTTCTAAATTTGAAATAATATGAATAGGTTTTTAAAGTAAGTAGTTATTATTTTTTTTATAAATGTAAAGTTGAAAAATTTTAAGTAATTTTTATTAGTTGTTCTAGATTAGATGTAAATTTTAAGTAATTTTTATTATTTTTTATGAGTTTTTATTATTTTTAAGAAAGCGTTATTAATTTTTTTTGATTTTTAGAAATTTTTATTGTTTTTTATTAATTTTAACGAATGTTTTTAATTATTAGAATTTTTTTAGATTTTTATAAATTTTTTAATAGAGATGTACTTTTTGATGGGTTATAGAATTTATTTTCAATTTATTCTAACAATGATGATCTATTGAAAACATCAAATATAGTAGATCAATTAGATCATGATCCTCATTATTTAATATAATTATTTTGCAAATGCATTAAATCATTATAGTATACTTTAATAAAAAGTTTTCTATATTGAGGTTTTTTTTGAGTATCTACCAATGTATAATTCTACAATAAGGCAGCTAGACTCTAGATGTCAATTGAGGATCCCAGGTGTCGCATTGCATGATCACTACAGGTTCTGTGTATTTATCTAGTATTTATGACTGTACTATGCTATTCATTGGTTTAAGTGGCACCTCTCACTTCTGTTGTTTTAAGTAAATTTCTTATTCATTTAATTGATCTGGGTACTTTTGTTGATTGGCAAAAAAATTTTTTCAGGCTTGAGAAAAGTGTGGAATGATTCCGAGGGAATGCAAAAACATTAATAAAGTAGTAACTAATTTAAAAATTGATCGAATTTCTTTATATTATGTGTATGTGATTGGCTACAGTCATGGAGATTAATGTCATAGCTTTTTAAATTGTTCAATATGCTATCATGAAATTTTATATATATACTTTGTACTCTTTCAAGCAAAATACAATAATAATCCTACCAAATAAAGTATTCGTAGAATTTGACGATACCAACCTCACAGAAGGACTAAAGTACCTAGATTTTTCTTAAGAAATCTACTTCTGAAGATCAGTCTTACTCAAGATATGAATATTAATCTAATAAATTTCACAGCATATGGAATTCCCTCGTCGTCAACACCATTCCAGAATCACTTATTTTTCAATTTTTTCTTCGATTTCATAATGGAAATCCTATCCACTATTTGAAGAACTATCTGATGAATTACTGCTACTTGATGAACTTGAAAAAGAAGAACTGCTATTTCCACTGCTACTACTAATAGTAGTTAATTTAGCCATCAATCTACTTTGAATTGCTTAAATCACTTTAGTTTTAGTTTGGAAGTATCCTCAATTCTACTTTTGATTGTAATGTAGATAATGATTTAGTATTACATTCTTATTTATTTTATATTTTTATTGATGATTTTAATAAAATATAAAAATCAGCTTAATACAAGATATCGACTATCTGACAAAAGTTATAATACTTATTGAGTTTATGTTTTCTTTTACTAATGTATGATTAACATGAGAGTTATTCGCAAAATTAATAGCTTCCCTATTTGGAACCAAATCATGGATAACATAATTCTCACTGATAACCTCAAAGCTCAATATAGTTATTCAAAATTTTTTTAACGAAAAAATTTAATTAAAGCCTAATCTTTTAATAGGAGTAAAGGTCATAATAGAGATTCTAGTAGTTCTAGAGGATAAAAGTTTGATTAAGATGGCTTATGTAGTGGCCAATTTGTTGACTTTTCCCCCCTTGTTGATTTAATAAGGGAAGAAGGATTACTACAAATTGAATTCTTTATACAGGCCTTTGGACTTGAAGATCAGAACCAAGAATCTTGGTATGATTAAATTGCTATATAGGGTCTCTATTTTGATGCTATTCAATTAGCTAGAAGCTTATAAAGCCTAAAGAACTTTTTAAATAATTCGGCATTAATAAACACAAATTCCCTTTTTAAAATAATTAGGAGGGAGGTTAATTCGACTAATTGACTGTTTGCAAAGCCATCTTGGATGATTTTGACCCTCTAGAGCTACGAGACACTCGACTATGTCCTATGTTCATATTAGGTGATACAGCCTGATTAAATCTTTTGCATAAAAAATTTACTTTCATAATATTACTTACAGTTATAAGTTTATTTAATAAATTAAATCTTCCAACTAACTAGGGCTAGCAATTAAGTTTCCATCTATATTTTATATTTGATATTACAAATTCAAACATATACTTTTTAATCTTATTGAATCATAATTTTTTAGTAATACTTCAGCGATTTTTACAACTTATTTTTAAAATCAGTCATAATCTTATGATTAAAAACTCTCATATTCAGCGGGGAAGGTTAATTAGATGAAGAGGATTATGGATATACCAGAGAAATTAATAGAACCTTTTGAGATTGAACTTGAATTATAACAATAAATAGTTAAACAAAAGATTCCTTAGGCCTAATTTTTATAAAGTTTAGGATTAGCAATAGATCAAAATTTTTTAATTTATTTTGGGTAAAAGTTTAAAAAATCTTTATCTTCAAAGAGTAATATAATGAATTATCAGATCAAACTTGACAGATTTAACATAAAGTTAAGAAGTAGGATTGAAATATTATGATGGAATCAATTCTCTTTAGGGGAGGTAGAATTTTCGAATTCTATAAGTGATCGTATCTTGCACAACTTGGAGCTTGAAAAATATTAAGTGTAGTATTTTAGAATGGACAGTTAGTATTAGGATCATTTTTGGCAAGAGACTAAGGATTAGTACCTATTTAAGAGCCACGTTGATGAATTTGTTAAATCAACTCTTGTAAATTTATTGCCTCTGTAATAAGATTTCTATTATTTCTTATAACATAAAGTAGGAAGCTTTATTTTCTGTTCAATCAGCTATTCCGATAAATCTTTCATTATTTTATTAGAAGTATAATGGTTAATAATCAGAATTGTATTCTTCACGACAGGCAAATTACTAATTGTACTAAAATAATCTCAGCAATTTTTTTTAACATCTTTTGATGTCAATTTGAAATCTTCATTATATAACTTCATCTATAACATTAACGTTAAACTTTAACCTATATTCGATGAGAAAAGTTAAAAAATTGAATCCTAGCGTTAAATAATAAAGTCTTCCAGATATTTCCTAATATCATATTAAATAGAGTTTATTAATAAAAAGATTTGCATCAAAAAATAAAAAAGTTAATAAAAATATTTAACCAAACTCTGATATATATGAATATAGGTGAATTCTGTTGATAAAGTCATGATAAAACGTTGACTAGAGCTGCAAGGCAGCATTCGAAACCTAAAACTAATGGCAAACAATCTGATAGTGTGGGATCAGATTTTAATTGTCATAAACTTAGGAATACCCCTCCAGCCTTATTTTGTAAATAATAATAGGATTAAACCATTCGAAGTCAAAATGCGCTATAATTTATATTAAACAAGAATCTAATCGTCAATCCTGTATTACTTAGACCCATAAGGTTGTAAATACCATGTGGTTATTTTTTGAGATTTTTATCCATAATTTTTGAGAATCTATTAATTGTAACTAGGTAAAAGTATCAGAATTAGAGCAGTGTAAGAGAATATAAAAAGTTGAGTGAAGATTGCTAAAATTTCTTTTATATCTTAAAGAGAAAAATGATACTAGAATCTTACCAAATTTAACTCCAAGATTTTTTTACCAAGTATTTACTCCACTATTAAAAGAAGTTATCATCCTATGAGATGGAATGAGAATCTTATATTAGTAAGTGTGTGAGAGAAGAGAAGCCTATGAGACTAGTTTTAAATTCAGTCTTATAATTTAGGTAAATTGGATATACTAGTTTAATATAAATAGTTTGGATTGAATGTGAAGTTTTCAAATCAAAAATTTTGTAAAACTCGATAGGATGTAATCTTGGAATCTTAAGAAACTACTTTATCCTTTTAATTTATCTAAGAAGAGAAAATAGACAAAAAAGAAAGTAGACTATCATCAGTAAGGAGTAAGAACTTGAAACATTTAAAAAGAGAATATTTGAAGGAAAAGATAGGAAAATTGAAGTTGTAAAAATGAATATTTGATGAAGGAAAATTAAATTTGGTTTGTTAGACAATGATCTAAGAGATATAGAAAAATAATCGTGAATAGTATAATAAATAATGTAAATTGGGATATCAAGTATAATTTATATGTGCACTACCTACCGCTAATTTCTTTTCTATATGCCATATTTTAGTTTAATAAAAGAAGAATTTATGAAGCACAATAAATTATGAGAAAAAGAAAATAAATATTAAGCATAACAAATTATTCATTTTTAACTTCTTTTAAGCCAACGAATTCTCTTGGGTGCAATAAACTCATTTCTTTCTTCTAAATTGAACGATTGATTTAGTCACATATTGACTAAGACTTAATTAATAATCCTTCTTTTAGGCTATGTTTTTTTGAATAGAATGATATTTTAATGCCTTAAACTACTTTCTGAGGTGTTAATTATTGAATTAATGATTTTCATATTCTTTTTTATCTATTTCATCAATCAAATTAGTAATTAAGGAATTTACAATTTGAATTGCTTTTTATTTGTGAAAATAATTTTCTTGATATATTGAATTTGGTAAAACTTAAATTAATTTAAAATTTCTGTAAAAGGGATTTATATTTTTTTTATAGCAACAGAATTTTTAATAGTCTTCTCTCAACCCTTGTTTAGAAATATTGAATTTTATGTTTTATATTCAAACTCTAAATACATATAATGCCTTATCTATAAATTTTTGGTATTAATGCTTTTTTATTCCAAAATCCTTTTTATTCACTAGACTCTTTTTTAATCAAGATGGCAAATTTAAAAACTTTATATTTATTTATATCTTAATTTAAATTAATCATTCTTAAGGACCAAGAAAATTTGGAGTAAATTTTTACAAAAGTAAATCTTAATTCAAATTGACTTCTTGATAATAAATCACACTATCTTCATCGTATTTTTCTATTCTGTTAGGTTACTTTAAATTAACTGTAAATAAAAATAAAATTTTAATTAAAAAAAGAGGCTTATCTAATCCCAATTATAATTAAAAAATTTCTAAATCTATTATTTCATAAGATTACTCTCAAACATAAATTTTGAATAGTTTTGTGTTCAATCATATAAATGTATAACTTTTCGTGCAATAATAAAGATAATAAACAAGATTTAAGAATATTGAGGCTTATAATAATATATAATGTACTGAAGTAGTATAAAAAATATTCTGTTTTATAGGAAAATAAAACTTACTGCCAATTTTTTTATCAACACACTTAAACAGTTTAATGAGTGATCAGATGTGAGAAAAATCTAATCATTTTTGCTTAAAAAAAAATAACATATTTTCAACAAGGTTCTATCAGGATTGTAGATTTTTAGAGAACTAGAGCCTTAAAAAATTATTAAAGTCATATTGGATAATGATAATGAAGATTTTAATTGTAGAGGTTAAATTGTATCAACTTATATATATAATTATCAATTTATGATTTGATGAAAAATGAAATCATTAAATGAATATCAGTTTAACTTTCAGTAGTTGAGGACAAAATGAATTAAAATTGATTACAAAATTGTGAAGAGTGTATGCTTAAATTTTAATAAGGTATCTCTTAGGGAGTATTGTAAGCGTATAATCATTAGATTAGTAAATTCAAAAGAGAAGCTTATTTATGAAAGTAAAACGAATGGCTAGTAAGAATGCAGAGTTAAAATAGAGGAATTTTTCTATGGTCGAAAGTTTCTGTAAAAGAAGAAGAATACCTAAAGAGACAAAGTAATAAATTAAATAGAGGATCATCTAAAGAAATGGAAAAACCCGTCCCTAAGGAAATAGAAAAGTGATTTTTTTCTTCTGGTAGAATTTATGGAAGAAAGAGAATAGATATTCTGTTAATTGAAATATGCATTAAGTTATAGAACTTCTGTGCAGAAAAGTGGAAAATTTAAGAGCAGAAGAAATAAGATAAATAGAAAGTCAGAGAAGAGGATTAATAAATTGAATTCATGAGACAGGTTCTTATAATAATGTTATATTTACTTAATTATAGCTGTTACTTATATTAAGATCAAACTATTCAAAATGTGGGAAAACAATAATTGTAAATGGGTCATATTCTTCAGACAACAAAGAGTTATAAATATATAAGTAAAACGGATAAGCTGTTAATAATTTTTTAAATTAATAGTCTATAAAGTAAATATATGAAGTTTTAAAGAAGCTTGAGTTAATATTATAGGTAGGAGAGTACATTTTTCAACTTCTATTTCTATTCTAATAATTATTGTCATAGAAACAGCTCCTATACTATTCAAATATTCTGTATTAATTAGTTAATAATTTAGGTTTCTAGGAAATCTATCAAAAAAACAACAATATTCAATAAATTCATAAGTTAGTTCATTATCACAATCTCCTTAAAAACAATATTAACCAATTTTCGAATAAGGGTCATAATCTATATTTTTATCCGTATAAGGAATAATACATTATGCTTTATATACAGTAATAATATTTGCGATATCAAGTAAAGGAGCTATTATCTGATTATCATAAATATATATTTACCAATGTCGATATTTCATCACATTTTATACACACTAACATATTTAACACATTTTATTTATAGTATTTACATAATATATTTAACTTGGTATTTAAGATTAATAACAAGAGTGCTCTCCCAATGAGTATTTACATGATTAACAATAATATTCACATTGAGTTAAGTTATTAGTATTCTCATTTTTCTATTTATTATTAAAAATTCTCATTAAAAAACTTTCTATTTTTAAATTCCAATATTAATTTAAATAATAGGAATTTATTCTTAATTTTCATAACATGATCCATCTTATAATAAATATCCAGATTCACATGTTATGCATTAATATATTATTTTCTATCTAAAAAACATATTGAACAATTTAAAATGTATTAATTGGTATATATATTCTATTTGATTCCTTAGAACAATTTAAACAATCTTGTTTATTTGGACCATCACATTCTTAACAACTATAATTAAATTTGTATTATTTTAAATCTTGCATACAATTATTAAATAACAAATTTTTACTATTACATCTAAATAATTTAAATTTGATTATTAAATATTTCTATAAGTTATTTTTAATTAATAATTATCAAATTACTTTATATCAATTGTTGTTTTGTATGATTAAGTATATTGGCCTTCATAAAATATTATCGAAAATTCTAATACACTTTCCTACAAATTTATTTATACATATTGCCATGAAGTAATCGAATTATAAATAGGTAATTCCCTTCTAATTAAAAGTGGATTCTTTGAAAAGTCTAAAGTAACAGACAGAAAATAGTATTGATATTTTGTAATTATTAATTTATTTTGAATAGGTGAGAAAAGATAAAATTGTTAAAATATAACTAAATTTTCAATTTTATAATCTATCTAAGAATATACTTATTTTCATAAATTAATAAGTAAACTCTTCTGAAATTTGATAAATATTAGATATTTAAAGCCATCCAGCTATAGTATAAGTATTACAATTAATTTTCATTGAAACATTATTCAATTAATCAAGATAAATTAAATGAGAATCTTAATTTATATTTTTTTTATCCCAATCACATTAACAAGTTTCAATCCTCTGAAAATATTGAGTAATTTTAGACCAATAATCAAATTCTATAGATATTCTCTTATTCAAATATACTTTTAAACTCCATCCAAAATATAATATTTGTTTTTAATCTCTATTAGGCATAGCAAGGTTCTATAGTTTCTTTTAAATTTAATTTAATTAAGAGTAAATTGCTAATTCTACTTTCTTTTTAGATATATAACTAATGATTTAAAAAAAGAACCAAATATCATCATATTATGAGGGTTCTATTTGTTTTGAGAATATAAACTATTCAGTTTAAGAAAATCCTAGTTAGTGGAATTTTTTAATCTCTTTTGTAGTATCATCAAGACATTCATATTAAATAAAATTTAGACTTTTTGTTTCATTATCCACAAAATTAATTAATTAAAAGTAGTTGCCTGTCAAATATTCCATATGCATTCTTCAATGTTGCATTACCTAATGGACTATATTTGACCAAATTTCAAAGATAAGGCAATTCTAATCTGATTTATCTAAATCCATTTTTTTAATTATTATTTTCCTAACTTTGGTTGACTGGTTTAATGCTTATTTGTCAATAGAAAAGTTAAAATCATTAATTAATATAAAATTAAATAATTAAAAAAAAATAATTACAAATTAATTCACCATCTGAATCCTTATCTTTAATATAAATTAGTAGAGAATACTTGAATCATTTATTTTGAGTAATCAAAATCATATGAAAATCAAACATGAAATATAATCATCAACATTTAAGAACTTTAAAATATATAATTTGAAATAGTAATAAAAATATAAAGAAAAAAAAACAACATTTATAAATAATATAGACCCTAAATTAATAATATTTTCCTAATGGAATCAATTAACCTAAAGATATGGGATTTTAATATTAGTTTAACTTCCTATTCTGAACTCTTCATTATTGATAACAGACGAATAGATTTCAAACATAAAAACCTATTATTGTAATCATTTACTAAAATATTTATTAGATCAATTTTAACATTTTGTTAATAACATCAAAACTTATAATATACTTTAAATATTTTTAGCATAATTATGATTCAATTATTATATGTTATTTCTTTACGCTTTTTATTTTCACCTATATCCATTTCTATTCATGCCAACCTTTTTACCATAATTATATTCACCATTATAAGTTACTTTCAATTATCCTACTCCAGCCCCAAAATTATCTATTACTTCAACCCATTTTCCTATTTTTATTGAATTTTCTTCGCTAAATTAACCACCTCCACAAATTATTTATAGAATAATTTACACATTCTCATTTTTAAACTAAATATTCCATCTACCAACTTTATTACCCTTTTAATTTTTGCCAACATAAGTAACTTAAGATTCTTTCGAAAATTCATCACTTAAATCAATCATTTTACTAATCTTCTTTTAATTTTCTTAATCATATAATCCACCGCCAATAAAGTATGTANCTTTTAAACTCCATCCAAAATATAATATTTGTTTTTAATCTCTATTAGGCATAGCAAGGTTCTATAGTTTCTTTTAAATTTAATTTAATTAAGAGTAAATTGCTAATTCTACTTTCTTTTTAGATATATAACTAATGATTTAAAAAAAGAACCAAATATCATCATATTATGAGGGTTCTATTTGTTTTGAGAATATAAACTATTCAGTTTAAGAAAATCCTAGTTAGTGGAATTTTTTAATCTCTTTTGTAGTATCATCAAGACATTCATATTAAATAAAATTTAGACTTTTTGTTTCATTATCCACAAAATTAATTAATTAAAAGTAGTTGCCTGTCAAATATTCCATATGCATTCTTCAATGTTGCATTACCTAATGGACTATATTTGACCAAATTTCAAAGATAAGGCAATTCTAATCTGATTTATCTAAATCCATTTTTTTAATTATTATTTTCCTAACTTTGGTTGACTGGTTTAATGCTTATTTGTCAATAGAAAAGTTAAAATCATTAATTAATATAAAATTAAATAATTAAAAAAAAATAATTACAAATTAATTCACCATCTGAATCCTTATCTTTAATATAAATTAGTAGAGAATACTTGAATCATTTATTTTGAGTAATCAAAATCATATGAAAATCAAACATGAAATATAATCATCAACATTTAAGAACTTTAAAATATATAATTTGAAATAGTAATAAAAATATAAAGAAAAAAAAACAACATTTATAAATAATATAGACCCTAAATTAATAATATTTTCCTAATGGAATCAATTAACCTAAAGATATGGGATTTTAATATTAGTTTAACTTCCTATTCTGAACTCTTCATTATTGATAACAGACGAATAGATTTCAAACATAAAAACCTATTATTGTAATCATTTACTAAAATATTTATTAGATCAATTTTAACATTTTGTTAATAACATCAAAACTTATAATATACTTTAAATATTTTTAGCATAATTATGATTCAATTATTATATGTTATTTCTTTACGCTTTTTATTTTCACCTATATCCATTTCTATTCATGCCAACCTTTTTACCATAATTATATTCACCATTATAAGTTACTTTCAATTATCCTACTCCAGCCCCAAAATTATCTATTACTTCAACCCATTTTCCTATTTTTATTGAATTTTCTTCGCTAAATTAACCACCTCCACAAATTATTTATAGAATAATTTACACATTCTCATTTTTAAACTAAATATTCCATCTACCAACTTTATTACCCTTTTAATTTTTGCCAACATAAGTAACTTAAGATTCTTTCGAAAATTCATCACTTAAATCAATCATTTTACTAATCTTCTTTTAATTTTCTTAATCATATAATCCACCGCCAATAAAGTATGTACTAAATATTCCATTTTCCAATTTTTTTTTCAATTTTATAATCACCTATATGAGTGACTTGAAAATTAAATGTAAGTAAGTTGTTTAATTCAATCCATTTCCCAATTTTAAATAAAGCTTCATTATCATAAAATCCCCCGCCACTTAATATAAGCAATTCCTTTACATTTTTCTTCCCTTCATAAAATGTCACATTTACTATAAATCAGAAAATTTTGATTATTTCACATTAAAAAAAACTATTTAAACAGTATTTTATTTTAGAAAATTTAGAAAATGTCAAGCTAATAAATTACAATCAATATATATCATAGTGTTATTTAACTATTTTATATTGATTCCTGATGTTATTTGATCAGCAGTTTATACTAGTTAAATGATGATTTAAAATTCACTTAATAATTAAAAAAAATAAAATAGAATATTATTAAATTATTAAGGAAAATTGAAAGTATAAGATGCTCTTAATTAGTAAAATAGTTATAAAATAAGTTTAGCAAGAAAAAAAGTTAACAATAAAATTATCAAACTGAACTAAATCTTTATAATCTATAATTCAAGAAACTTAGAATAAAAATTTATTATTATATTTGGATAATAGTGGTATTTTTAACAGAATTAAAAATTAAATTCCTTCTCCTATTTTTCAATCGAATTATAAAATTATACATACTTAAGATAATTTATGCTAAACTGAAGTTATTAATAATAAAATTAGAATATTATTCATTACATTTAAAATAGAATTTTGAAATTTGACAACATTTTTTGTAAATTTAGAAATATTAATGATGACAAAATTTAGTTGTTTTTAATAATTAATAGGATCTTTTAAATTCATATTAAACTATTTTATTAGTTCTAAAATGATCCTATTAATATTATGTTTAAATTTGTTAAAATATCCTTTATGATTTATCAATCAATCCAAAAGTTTAAATATATATATATTAAGTATATATTCTCCTCTCTTTGATTGGGAAGTATTCTTATTCTTTTTTCATCTTCCAAGTCAAAAAATTCCTTATTTAATGTTTTCTCTTTTGACTTTTATCTTGTTCTTCTGAATTGAAACTTTCTTTCTCCTTTTATAGCCTACTTTAATTAATTATTTAATGAAATACTCATAGAAAAGACTTGAAAATACTTTTCATCTTCCTAAATGAAAATGATTTAAAAATTTTTTCTTGAGTTATGAGCTCAAGTATATTGATTATTAGAAATTGAAACTTTTTCTATATTAATAGAATTAAATATAAATATTTCTTAAAAAGCTAATAATAAAATAAAATTAAGTTTTATTTTCTCGCCCCCCCCCAAAGGGTCGAAGATAAGAGTAATGTCTGAGAGATTGGGACTTCGGTCTGTCACAGGAACTTGATAAAGGTTTCTAGAAGGATCTCTGCGGACTTGGGATTGGG